GATATATTTATTTTTTTTAATTACTTTTGTTTCAGCAACATTAAATTTAAAAACTGTACTTTTGAGTTAAAATATATATATTTATAATTTTAATAAATGACAAATTAAAAAGGCATGAACATTTTTTTTGTATCGAAAAAATATCGAACCGTGACACCAAAGTATCGAACCGTGAATTTTGTGTATCGTTGCACCTTAGCTAATACATATATTGATAGATGTCCAGGGCAATTTTAAAGTTAAAAACAGAGTTGATGGGTTTTTTATTTTTGTTGTTTTTTTGTTTTTCCCCTTGCTGTTGTTCATTTATTTTATTATTTACTTTGTATCTGTAATTTTCTTTTCTTTTATCTCTTCTTCCCTCTCTGGCTGGGTTTTAGTTACACTGTTCTGGATGGGTGGGTGGGGCACGACTGTTTGTTAATATTGCCGTAATTGTTGTTGGAAGCAATTCTTTGTTCAATAAAAAGACCTTGATCCAAAAAAAACAAACAAAAAACAGTTGATGAAATCATCAGGTCATTTTATTACTGCAGACAGCCACAAAGAAACCTGAACAAATAACCAGTGAAATCCCTAATGTGATGAGCAAATGAGACAAATGCACAAGAGGCTCTTAAGTAGTTGGCGCCATAGTAATGTGAAAACCCACTACTCTATGCACGCAGTGCTACTACCCTTTCTAAAGTGCATACTTATATGTGTGTGTGCGGCAAAGAGTGAGGGAGGTAAATCATTAGCCGCTTGGATCTCTCCCACCAACTGCAGCTGTTACCCACGGGCAGGCAGAGACCTCAATCTGTCAGAGCCGCCATAGCAGAAAATGCTCGCAGTCATTATGTGATGACTCTACTTCTTTGTCACTGCAACACCACATTTCAATCAACCATGTCAAAGGGGGAAAAGAGATTCTCAGGTCTGTTCAGCCTTCGGCTTTTTGAGCTTGTCAGAGAAGCCATAGTTCTATATTACTGATAAGTGGAGTCAGAGCGACATTTTATCAAAGAAAAAAAGGCCAAGGTATGAGCTTAACTGGGTGCTAGACGTTCCAACAGTGCCTTTTAAAGAAGACGGGAAAAGCTGCGCTAGTTTAACAGCTATAAATAACAATCATTCGATGAATAAGCTCTTGTGAAGTGACAGCCTAATTAGCACTTTGTCAATCAAAATTTGCAATCTATTAAGTCACCCATGGCAACAGAAAAACCCAAAGAGCACCGAAAAATACTGCCACATCACGCCACCGCATCAAATACAGGGTACAGCTGCGAGTACTCTGCAGCTTAAATTAAAAATGAATTAATTAGCCTTCAAGCTTAATTAAGAAAATCGAAACATGATCAGCAATTTGTGTTAAGTCTAATAGGCAGAACAGAACGATAAATCCCCTTTTATCATATTATTGGATATATTGGGGGTATCCAATTGAGACCTTTTTTTTCTTTTCACTCTCTGGGTTATATTTTCACCTTGGCGTGGATGATTGTGGCCAAAATGATTCCCATAATTATTTTGATCATTATTGAGATGACAATTACATTACACTCCTTCCACATCTATGTGCAACATTCATGCTATTCTACTAAAGTCTGCATCAAAATGAAACTGGTCCTCCATATCTGCCTAAATTCAGCGCCTCTGAAGAAAAATCAACAAATATAAATAAAAAACCTGTACCAAAACTTAACACAAATTAAATGAAGAAAGTACTGTTTTCCCTTTTACTCTGTGCTGTATTATTAATAATTAAAATATCTTGTGAGCCGTGAGATCCCTCTACATTCCCCTGATATCACTACTTTGGAAGAATAATTGTGTTTCCACTATGTTCACCCTTCTGCTGCAGTTTTTGTTACTCACTTGTGGTTTTTTGGCCACATGGAATGTGATTGCTGAGTTGATCATGGACAGTTCATGTTAACAACCACTGCATTGTTTTTCTTGGCATCCATTCATTAATTATACTGCATTTAGAGGTGTGTTTTCAGGCAGCTGAATGAGTTAGTTGTTTCTTTGCCATCTAGACTAGAACAGGATTTAGGACAGAACAGGTACCAATAACAATATTTGGTGTAAAATTCCAATACATGAGTCAATACCTCTTGTCCTTCAGGCACAGGAAATGAACAGATTTCCCTAACATTTCTTATGTATTGAGTCCTTACTAACATAACTTGATAACGCAGGAAAAAAACATAAGCTACATTTTGAAATTTTCATTTATTGGCTTAACAATGGCCAATAATACTGGCCATGCCAATATACTGATCAAGGTGTAGTGCAGACCCAACTATAGAGCACTCTTTGCATATGTATTTTTGGTTGACATGTATTTCCAAACAACAGCTGATGATCTGCCTAAAGGGAAAAAGGTCTTCACCTTCTTGTTCTTGATTTTTATTGCATATCTGTCTTAATATGCAGTGTTACTTGTCCTGACTAGTCCAGGAAACTTCAAGCTACACAGTGTAGGGAACAGCTGTGGTTGGCACATGCAGCCAGGGGGTCAAGAGCTGATTAAGGGGTCACTTCATTTGCTTTCACTTGGTGTTTAATATTGCCTGATTATGTTCATTTAACTGTGGGAAGCAAAAACCATGAAGTCTGTACAGCCCTATTTTCTCCTTTTATAAAACAGAGACTTTGTGAAATATTTGCTGGTCTGAAAACTTTTTTATACAGTTTATTATAGTAATTTAGCAAAGTGGGCAGTGTCATATTATTTGTTCAGTATAGTGCACTCAAACTCAATTGTTTACCTTCCTCTCAGCATTGTCTGCAGGACATGAGGAAGAGTGCATGTCACACTTGAGCAGATGGTGATGAAGTGTGAAGGGGTGTCCTAACAATAAATTGCTTAGTAGTTTGTGAAAACAGTGACCCTTCATTTTCCCAAAAACCCACTATCTGTCAAGCTTGTGTGTACACACAAAATGATTCATTAGAATTATGTAACAATTGTTATTCTTCCTGAAATAATATTTAATGTAAAACAAACCACTCAAAACAAAGTTGATTTAAATGCACTGTGGATATTTTGTTTGGCATTATTTGTCATTGAGGTGGAGCTTGAAAGCATAAAGCATACTGTGAGAACAAGACACACGCCACAGATGGCCTGCAAAACTGTGCGGCACCACAGACAAAGGCTCCTGTATAATTGTGAAACACAAACATACAGCTAACAGGTGGACAACGGAAGAAGCAGACGGGAGTAGAAACAAAGGAGTGGGCACTGCACAAAACATCAGCAGGAACACTGACAAAACAAGTTTTCTCCAACTTTTCTAGCCTTTAGAATTGAATGTGAAATAATAAGCTGTGTGAATGGTTATTAATGTGCATCAAATGTACAGACATTATTTAAAAGCTTGCACAAGAAATTCAAGTGAGTTGAATTCAACTGAAACTGCTTTAAAAGAGCGCTAATTGCTCTTTTTACATAAACTACAGGTGGGTATGAACAGATGTATCATCTGCCAACTGCTGTCTCTGGAGACTGAAGTATGTTACAGTCAACAAAACAAAACTTTGAAGGGAATAAACAATGTACTGATTAATATGGATGCTAAAATCCTTTAAAATGAATCCACTCTGGTCTCTGCTAATGAGATCTTGTCATCTAACTTGGTATTTGCCCCTAAGGCTGGCACAACGAGAATGCTCATACAAAAATAAGTGTTTAGTGGGTGTTTAATGTTTTCATGTGCTTAGCAATTACACAGCAATCCTCAAGTGGATTCTGGTGTTTCTATACTACACAACTTATTTTGACAGGATGGGTTCTTGGCAAAGACCTACTTCAAAATAATCTGTGTGTTATTTATTTGGCTAACAAAGCTTTTAAAGAAAGATTAAGACTATAAAACCTGTTTGTGAGTGAAGAAGCATTAGTGCATGAAATCTGAAACCTCACCTCTGGGTGGCACGAGGAAGCCCCGCCCGTTGTGTTAGCCTTTGACTGCAGCAGTCCACTAACCTCTTGAGAATATATAAGCATTCCCTAAAGGTGGAGAAGAAGGGGTAATGGCTGAGTATGCACAGAGAGGTCAGTGTGCTGTTGCGGTTCCTGGCTGCCACCTTAGCAGCACTCCGTTTGTGCTGCGGGGACTTGCCGGCATTTTGCTCAGCACCTTGCTGTCCACCCTCTTCTCCAGAAGCAGGCGGAGGTACTGACTCTGCATTCTTGGGTGGAGAAACCACACGGTGTGGAACTCCACCCCCACCACTATCAGACCCTTCGCTTGTGGTCTCTGTTGCCTGTTCTGCTGTCTCAGCGTGACTGCTCTTCTCTCCTCGAGTACGATGATGTCCTCGCTGAAAGGAGCGGTAGAAGTTGACACAGATTCCGTAGCGAGTAATTCCTGAGTCCTTGTCAGTCAGGGTGAAAACAAAAGAGGAGTCATCGCGAAGGCTGACCCTGCGCTGGCGTATACTCAGGCAGCCCTCTGGTTGGCAGAAGAAAACCACGTCTGGTGGGAGCGGAAAGTCTTGGTGGTCCTCTAGTGGGTAGCGTCGGAGAAGCTGAGGGGTCTGGGCCACACTGTCACTAGTAGGTTGCCTGGAGGTTAAATGGCAAACATTTGTCAGCAGTGCCCAGAATTATTGCTTAATGTGTTCTTTGAGTACATTACAACTAATTCCTGATGCAGCTGCAACTGAGTTCCCATCACATGTTAAGTGGGGAGCTTCAAATCCCTTACATGAAACATCAAAATATCAAATCAAGACATTAGTGTATTTATGTGTCAAATGTGAGCGACAGCAAATATGAGAAAAGAATGTAAAAGACAGACTTCTGTGCCTGCTGTTACCTGCTTTCTGTTCAGACCCTTTTTCATTTCTTTTCTTTTTTTTTTTTAAACGACAGCCAATTTGAATAAAGCTGGCTTAAGGGAAAGAGGGAAATATGCTAAAACAGCTTGTTTCAGACAGTGGAGGAACTGAGGGGCTGCACCAACGCCCACTACAAGATGCATTAAGATTATTTTTAAATTGTGAAATAACCAAAGCTAATCTAGCAGAGTATCTGAGGTGTAACAGGTTCCCTTTAATATGAAAGACATAAAAGGAAAGACAAATTTCATAAAGGAAGAAATGGAAACCACAGAGTTCAAACAAAAACATTGAACAAAGCCTCGATAGTATTTCTGTGGTTACAGAAGCAAATGTGTAACCAATTTAGCATTTCAAACTGAAGTGTTTGAACTGTTTGGAAATCTGTGCAGAGGAAGTATGAGGCAACAACCATTCCATCCAATAACAACTCTGAAATTGTTCTTAAACACTTAAATCACCAACCGCTCAAATAAACAGACACAGTAACTCAGAGTCCCCTTTGATTTCACTGTATTATGTCAATACTTTTTTTTGGCTCAGTCACTATGTTTGAAACAATATACTACTTTTCTTCATTTTTCATAAGGGTTGAGCTGTTGTATAAACACCAAAGCAAAAACATAAGCTGTGAAATCATCAGATTTCAAGGTTGCAGTTTTCCAAAAACCTTCAAGCACTGCAAGGATGCATTCAAAAGTGCTGAGAATTTTCAACAGAGTAAAAATAGAAGATGATATAAAAACCAAGAGGTCTACTTTGTATGCCTATTATATGTCAAGACACTAAAGTAAAAATTATTAAGGTTAAAGGGTAGTGGGTGCCATGTCTGCCTAAGGGCTTACCTTGCTCCAACCACTACCAAGTAGTCGAGAAGGCGGGGGCACATTTTCTTTTTCTCCATGTTGGACTGACCATGTCCTGTATGTCACAGCATCCAGGATATACGTCGCCTCTTGAGTTAAGGGTACCTCTCCATCACAAGTGAGAAAGCTCAGGAGTATACTTGAAATGCAGCTCCTTTACTATCATTATGATGATTCAAAAAAAAAAAAAAAACATAAAAGAAGAAGAAGACTGGGTCCAATCTGTAACACACAAAGAAGAAGAAAATATATATTATTGTATGTTTTTATGACCACAATATAATAAGCTTGTGTCTGCACAATGAAAGCACCTGGTGCACACACTGGATATCACCAAACAGCAGCATAATTTTTCAGAGTAACAAAATGGGGTCAGATTGGGTTTTATGATGTATAGTTGTGACTTTTCAGTAAATGTCAAACTATAATAAAGTATAAATCCACTCAGCTCTGCAGCATTCTCCACTTTTCCTCTATTATTTTTTATTCCTATTTATTCTATTTATCCCCTTTGTATATTTTATTTATATTTGTCTCTGTGTGTGTTTGTGTGTTTGTTGTGTGTGTGTGTGTGTGTGTGTGTGTGTGTGTGTATATATATATATATATATTATTTATATTTGTTATTGTATTTTATTGTATGTTGTGTGTGTGTGTGTGTGTGTGTGTGTGTGTGTGTGTGTGTATATATATATAACAATTCTGTAACTGTAACTTCGGTCGTTGCTGTGCTTTTTTTGGAAGTCGAATTTCCCAGAGGAACCCACCCGAGGGATTAATAAAGTTCTATCTTATCTTTGTCCACAACACCAACTGTTCACAAGGCTTTTAACCCCCCACAACAGCAGAAGTTTCACGTGAAGGTGGTTTTAAGATGGAATAAAGCATTTGGAGCCTTTTTAGCTAAAGAGCAGACAAAGAACTGTATTGTTCTGTCCTTGTGGTATTCGAACAAATAACAAATTACCAAGACAAGGAAATGCTTTCTGATATTACCAAATTTCACAAGACATCATACTACTATAAACAAAGAAACAAAATGCAAAAAAAGGTGTGTGGATATGTGTTTATAGGGTATATGTTGGACATTAAGACGACATAGGAAGAAGAACCACAAAAACCTATAAACAGAATTGTTGGAGATTAAAACTTATAATTTTGGGTTAAATTTACATAGACATAACTAAAGAATCACTCTAAACATATTACAAAATATTACTTGCTGCACTTTAGAGTTGACAATAATGTGTTGCCTGGTTGTTTTTGTTCGAGGGTAAGGAGAGGTAAGTAAGCAGCTTAGGGGCCTTGGTGGAATGAGCACACTTCACAGCTTGGACTTTGTCCAGCAAACTAAACCAGCACCTCTACAGATGGCTATTAAACACCAGGAAGCCACTTGTAGCTCCAGTCTAGTTCCCTTATCGTGACAACAGACAACTTAACATTCATATTAAGGCAACATACAGTGCATGACTACAGTTTAGCGGGCATTCCCTGACACAATAACAACACCATCTCAAAATATTAGTTGAGTTGCTTTTGTGAGAATAAATTTAACATGAGCAGCTTTACAAATAGGTGCACAAGCTCTGGATCTCCTCTTGTAAAGTAATGACAAAGCACTGGCCACTAAATACAAAAAAAAAAAAAAAAAAACAAGTCTGGGCCAGGATTCTGTTAAGCTCAACTCTTAAGACTTTTCTGAAAAACAATTTAACATCCCCACAGCCATGGCATTTCATACTATTTTCAGCAATAATTTATGCAGCTATACGATCTGCTTTTTAGAGGAACTCACTCATGTTCTATAACTTACAAAATCTGTGTATTTATTTCTTTGTCTCACAAATCCTCCTACATTAGGATCAGGAGTTCAGCAACCAGCCTTGGCACACAGCTACATCTCAGGCCCCTGACAGCTCTTATCAATAGTTATTATGATGATGTCATCACATCGCCTTGCAATCACCTAGCGACAAGCTCAGATAACCTTTTTTAAAATGCCTTGCAAAAGCACTGAATCATTTTTGTTTCACAACAGTAACATTAATTTATATTCACTTCACTTATGCATCATACAGTATAACGCCATCATGTTGCCTTGCAACCACCAAGCAATGAACACATATTTATCTAACTTGTTATAACCATCATTTTACAATCATTTGAATTTTACAACCAACACCACAAACTGGTCAAACTATACTGTAGCATGGGCATGTGCTAGTTAAACAAATAACAGCACTGCCAAACATGTTAGCAGTTATGACACAATCAGGACAACCCTCATGGGAAGCACTTGCAGGTGTAACCAATGAACTTGAAGCCCACAAGAAAGAAAAGAACAGCAGTGAGATCCCCTTAAAACCACAAGACACAAATTGACAATTTCAGTGCCATGCTCAACTTTTCGACTTGTAACTTTTCAGTGTGAATATAATCAGAGCAAAACCAACATGCTGACATTCAATTCAAAGACTATAATGTGGCTGCAGTAAAACTACAGTCTGAAGTATCTCTCTTTCCTCCCAAAACCATCAAACATTACAGAATTACTGCTCTGCTTTTTGTTTTTCTGGAATAAGCAGCAAAATCTGAAGCTTAAAACACCTCAGAGGAAAACACCATAACTGCTAATGTTCACATCAGCTAATTGCACAAAACAAAACCACAGTAACGTGATCTACTTGAGCTATCATGCGATGCCAAACAGCGTTTACTCTAAAACTAACAAATACTACAGGAGGCCATGCTACTGGAACCCCACCCTGAAACACAAACACTCAGGACCCAGAGCAGTTTCTCACTGTCACTTAAAGGCTGTTATCCAACAACTGATAAGCTGAAGGAGCTTTAATTTAGTCAGTGGTTCATACTGCATCATTGATGCATTCCCACTGAAAAGCTAAGACCAGGATTCTTTTCTAAAAGCTTAAGATAATCTTACAACGACAACACCTCTATCAGTGCAATTACTGCAAAAAAAGATTCAAACTTCACATTAAAAAAAAAAAAAAAGACCTGATTCATAAGGACTGAAGGATGAATTACTGAAGTCTAACAAGCAGCAAATCTTGTGCACATCTATGAAAATATGCCAATTTCACTGCAGTTCCAGGAGTTGCTTTTGAATTAAACATCATGACCGCATCTACTCCATCACACAGACATATGAGAAGCAGTATATCCTATGTCTGACAGAACCCGTGTTGCTTTGTTCTTTTCCCATGTCGTTTGGACTAGTTACATGTTATAGACTCAGTAGCTTTAACTGTAGAAAACACTTCTGACCTAATTTGACTCTTTCTTCAAACAGGAAACCCGCAGTCCCCCTAAAGACTCATTTACACTTCCAGTTCTGTTTTCATGCTCAACACAATATTAGAAAGAGCTGTCAGAAACTACATCTATTACACTAGAAAAAAAGGTTTCGCTCTATGAACATTAAAACTGCAGCGACCTTCAGTGAAGTGACACCACACAGAATGCTTAAAATGAATCTGCACCAAATATAAATAAATCCTGATATGAATATCGTGTTTCGATATGTGCGCTTGTGTGGTAGAAACAGAACAGACACAACGATAACAGGACAGACAAATGGACTGCATGTAAATCATGAGTGGGACACGATAGTCACACATTCTGACAAAGGTGGTCATTAACCCCCTCAGCCACAGAACTACCAGTGCGTGACACAGCTGTGTCCAGCAGACATTATTACAGAAGGCTTCAAACGCATTATAGGTGTAATTATGTCTAATAGCTCCACTTCTGAGCAGAGAAGCTGCTCACAGAGGGACATGAACCATTAGAATTAAAGTATTCTTGATGCATGCTAAAATGTTCTAATGTTTTTATTTTTATTTTACGTCAATTTGGAATTGAGTGAATGTTTAACACATTTCACTGAAACTGCAGTATTAAAACACTGATTCTTGAGCTACCACAGATACATAATACCTTCTTATGGTTTTGGGAAGCTTGACAGTGTTTAATGTGAACTTTCACCACACTGTTAAATCCAAGAGTATCTGATGTGAGGAGCCACACAAAGATGCAGTTCAAACAGGCCTGCCAAGTGGGATGACACATCTTAGGAAGTCAGCTTAATGTTCACACTCATCACACTTGGTAAAGTTATTCAAATACCCTAAAAGCCTGGCAGCTTTTTACTGACTTGCACACTGATGTACAAGAAGGAAAAGTAAACTGTCACTTAACATTAATGGGTAAATGAGCTCTGAAACGGCGGTTTAAAATAAAAATAAAAATAATCTTTTCAGCTCAAGCTTTAAAAGATAAATAAAATACATGGAACAACTTCTACAAGGTTGGATAGCGGCGACAGCATAAACCTTGTCACAGCAAAGAAAAACTACAAAATGGACAATTCAACAGGCCTATAGAGAATACAATGTAACAATTATCTCATGAAACCATCAGGAAAATGAACCTATACACAGGTCTGGCAGCCTGAAAGCTTCCTGGTACCAAGCCAAAATGGCTGTTTTATGAAGCAGTAGCGCTGCAGGCAGACTCATCCAGCACAGAGATACTGGCTCACAACATTATTTTTAGATAAGGATGGCAGGACTGTGCCACTTCGCTGATTGTCTTTAATTACCGAGTGTGGTACTGATCCCCTTTTCCTATCTCTAAAAACCGGGAATAAAGAATTGTCACAACATTACAACCATCTTCAAAGGCTAAATAATGATGTACATTAACACAACAGATGAATCTCTTCAGAGTGGTCTGCAGGCAAGCAGTCACTTGTTATGTAAGCATGGAGAGGAGACAGATATGATTCATGGGCCTCCAACATGGTTAACATTTACTGCCAGTCACAGTAAACAGCAGTAAGTACAAACAGAGAATGCTACTGAAATCGATCAGGTCAGCAAGGCCGCATAAACAAGTAAGAGATAATGTGTAGATTAAGAAAGTATTATTCTTAGGAGGCGCATCTGTAACCGGAAGGTCGCTGGCTCTCTGTCCTGGTCGTTGTGTCCTTGGGCAAGACACTTTACCCTACCGCCTACTGGTGTTGGCCAGAGGGACCGATGGCGCGATATGGCAGCCTCGCTTCTGTCAGTCTGCCCCAGGGCAGCTGTGGCTACAACCGTAGCTTGCCTCCACCAGTGTGTGAATGCGAGAGTACAATAGTGGCATTGTAAAGCGCTTTGGGTGCCTTGAAAAACGCTATATAAATCCAATCCATTATTATTATTATTCAATGAGTTATCACTTTTAAATTATCATTTTATTGAACCAATGGTACAGTGTTTAACAACTGGACCAGTATTGATATATTTTGGTCCCCTGCCGCTCATAACCTACAAGGAACGAGTGCTGCAACTTTAAAATGATTTATAGAAGATCGTAATATATGCTTGGTGACTGGCCATGTTTCTACATCTTGAAATTGTGGTCACAAAAATGAAATAACCAACACGTTTATGGTGTTCAGTTATCTGTTTGACTGTAGGAAACTAACTATGTGCTAATAATTTGCATTGCAAGGTGTGACGAAGACTGGCTTCATTTGAATCAGGTTCCAGGTACCTTTTTTTTTTTTTGATAAAATGGCAAAGCTGAGTTCAATGTGCATTAAATCAAAAAAAACAAGGACACTCATGCCTTGTTTTGATTTAACAACAAGTTACATACCAATATGTTTGTTTCACAATATCTTATAACCAAAGCTTAATTTCGTTATCACCCAGATAACCCCCCAGCCTAAAAGCTCCAGTGTATAATAAATTATATTTGTCCTCAGAAACCATTTGTGATTGGCCTATTTTTACATTTTTCCCCAGAGGCTTTGAGATTCAAATCAAATTTTACCCCATCATCAATCAAGAGGATATAGTCAAAGATCTGTAGCTAGTCTGTGTAATGCATTGGGTGAATTACATGTGACTGGGACACACTCCTTTCTCTGATAAAGTTCTGGTAAATGGAAAAGACAACCACTTATTGATTGGATCTAGTGTATGGACATGCACTGGATATGCACCGTTTAACTCACACTTTAACACAATTTCACATGCAAATAATCTTGTCATTATTAAGAATGAAGGCTAGCTATTCAGTTATGTTAAAACTTTATTCCTGAAGGTTTATAAACCCACCCAAAACAAATATGCCCAATGCTGACAGGAGACTTCGGGGATCTTTTTGCCGTTCACCTCAGCACCTCAAAGACAGACGGAAGGTGCCTGATTCCCTGAGCCAATCCATACCTGTCACCAGCAGGAAATACTGGCCTGCCTGTGGGACCACAATGTCCTTCATTTGCAATGCCTTTTACCACACTGTCATTCGCCCAAACACTGAAATGTTGACATAACCAGAAACATCATATTAACACACGTTCACTGATTGTATTGCAAAAGCACAAAATAATCACGTGTCCTTAAAATTTTGGTTTAATATGATAGCTATTTTAACGGTGAAATCTACATAAAGCCTGGGTTTATTATCTCATTCACCTAAATGTCGTCATATCAATAAAGACATGCATGACAGCAAATAAAAAAAGACCGTGTATAGTTATCCATTGAACATTATGTTCCAGTCACCCTCAAATCATCTTTATTAAAATATGTTGACGTATATCTTAAATTTCTGTACATATTAACATACTAAGTATCCACATGAAAAAAAAATACTTTCTCTTTCTTCGATGACGAAACCGTGCTAATGTTTTCACACGTTAACGTTAGTGCCCAACGTTTATGTCGCAAGCTAATGTGAACATTGTGTCAAATTATCCAACTGTTAAGCAATGCTTCAGGCGTGATGACGGACTTCACAATGGCACACTATTTCAACAGAAAACCGTCACGGGTTGCGATTGCAGAGCACAAATCCCGCATGACTAGCCTGTCTGGGTGTGTAGTCTAAATTTTACTGGAACAAGTTGAGATTAGCCATGGTGAGGACGTATGCCAAGAGGAAGGTAACATTAACAAACAGCACTTAGAAGAAATGTGATAAGGCAGTGTCAGCGCCTCCCAGCTCAGATAGAACCGTCCTTGGTGCACGGTGGTAGTGCTGTCATTTTTTTATATTATATATATATGGATAAATATTTCAAACAGGCTGTCTGGCTTTGATTCGTCCTAAACATTAACGCCAAGGAAGCATCTTCTCACCCCTCCTCTGCTAGCCGTATGCTTTCCTACGTCACGAGTGGATTAGCTAGCAAGCTAGCTTGCGAACTGCCTAGCTACCACCAGTACGTTAGTCTCATACACATTACACCTGTCAAACGTAACAAACGCAATGACACAGTTGAGAACACACGACACATATGCGCTGAATGCGTTCACAGAGGACAGGCGTTAATGGGAATAACCTTACCTACGTTAGCCGGTTAGCCGCTAATGCTCGCTGCCAAGCCAGCCAGCTGCCGATGACGGCCTGGATGGTGGGCGCTCTCCTCGGTCACGGCGGAGAGGCAGCGATGTTTGTCAGAATTCAGTCCTTCTTTTATCATTGAAAACATCGATCGCGGACAACCGCTGAAAAGGTTAGCCACTCCGTTTGAGTGTCCCGGAACATAATAAATTATGCGAAATATGTGTCCGCCTGCCTGCTCAGTGAAACGTGTGGCTCGGTCAGTTACAACCTGCCGTCATAACATCCTCCTCCTCCTCCCCATCATCATCAGCAGCACTAGAAGCCTGCAGGGAGTTCCGCATACTGAGAGGCCGACCTAACGGAAGCGACAAAACAAAACGGACAAAACCCACCTAATGCTCCTAACTGGGGATCGTCACCATTGGTTCACTCTAAAAATCTATTTGTACCATTTTCCTGCGTTTTATCGCGCAGCAGGAACGCCGGGAGCCATTTGTGTCCCCGTATTTATTTTTTTGATAAGCTTACCACCCTTACATTAGTTATAATTAACTAAAGTTAAAATGACCAAAAAGCTAACAAAAAGTGATTAAAAATAATCCAAATAAATTTTAACTGTTTGAATTTTAGTAGGCTACTTGGTTTAACGCAATGATAAAGAAATTTAGTTTTTTTTAAGTGAAATATGTGCCACATATCCCCAAAAGTTTCTTCAATCAGCCAACCTGATGACAGAGTACTTCATGCTGACTCTAGAGCAGTAGTGTTGAATAATCTGTCAGTAACCCGGGGCAATTAAAATGTCTCCAGATCATTCAAAAAGTGGAATTTGCATTTCAAAGCTCTCGCTTTGAACACTCAGCATGTGTTGCTGAGAATGAAAATGAAACGGTACATGTTGAACATCTCTATCAAAGATAGCATTAACCAAATTAATGGTTGGGTACATTCAGAGAGAAAAAAGCTATGAGGTCAGCAACATAAAAAGGCTTGAAGATCTGCTGAAGACAAACCAGAACTGCACTGAACGAGTCTCATCCACCTTTCAATCCATTACAATTTATTCCTTGTAAAACAGCAAATGTGTGGATGAGCTAAGAACCTGAGATATCCGCAGCATTACCACAATATACATATACACAAAAATAACTATTGCTCTTTGATTACAGTACGCACACTAGAAAATAATAATAAAGGTAATCATATTCCCTCTGTGAACCGAAATGGTATACAACCAAGGGATATTAATAGTAATATTACAGAAGCTATTTTTAGGTCCTGCAAGCATCAAACCAAAACCCAAAATACAAAAATTCACATTTTGTTAAAAAGGGACCTAAAGGAAAGTTTTGCATAAGCATTTCACCGGTTTGGTTACACGCTCCTGCATCCGTTCTTGTCTTAACCTGCTCATTATTTTTTTAATAAATAAAACACTATATCAGAGATTGATTATATGGATATCAACAAAATCCAAATCTATAACTAAATTTTAAGGATTGACATAGTACATGGTCAAAAATGCCAGGACACCTCCATCTTTTCTGTGCCTACAGAATGAAAAAAAAATTGTCATAGCTAAAGTTTGCTTCCTGATGTTAGCTGCTGTTCCATTCTTCTTCTGGCAGGAACAAACCCTTATGGATGGTCTTTTGTTAGACGTTTCCCACAAGCAACTACTAAGTAAGAAAATCCGGTCACTAGGTTTTCCACAGCTATTCTAACATCTTAAGAGCACCCCACTGTAAGGAATGTGGCTGGACAAGCATTTGCATTTATTCAGCCAACCATTAAGTAACGTTTACTGTTTTTATCATTTTACACATTTTCTTAATGTTAGGCTGTGTGAGACATTTTAAAATCAGTTTTCATCCAGCTTGGTCAAAGATGCATGAACCAGGCTAAAGGATTGTATCATTAGATCATTTAATCCGCATGGTGAAACATAAAAGTCAAGTTGTCATAGAGGCCACGTCATAGACGATGTCAAAGGCAAATACAAACTAGGGAGTTAATTCACCAATTAATTATTGTCATCACTATTTTTTTTTTAAACCACTAGAGTTGTCATTAATTTAGTATATCAATATATCATTTTCACACAAGACATCCTTACATGTCACAGGCAGGAAAGCAAAAAAAATTAAATTAAAAATAAAGTGGAAAATAATATTGTCAGTTTCGGGGTTCCCGATGCTGTGCATGGTGGTTCACAGGAACACTTTAATAAACAAAGCCAATTTTATTAAAAGCATGAGCTGAACATGGGAGAGATAATCAGTTTAAGCTAATATTATACAATACAGACATGTTGGTCAATATGGCGATAAAGTTAAAAAAAAAAAAAAAAAGGGTCAGTTTGGTTACACAATCCAAGCTTAACAAACAAAAATTCAAATAATTAAACATCAAGTCCACCAGCAAGTGCTTTTGGACAAAAATCTAATGTGCAATAAAGTGAATTTTGAAGAGTCTACTTGTGCCTGTGTGACATTTGTGTAGCAGGTGTAGATAATGTCCCATTTAACCAGCACGTTAGCCGTCTGATGGAATTTATTAGCTAAAAGGTCCCCAAAAACATGCTAAAAAAATAACATGATTCTGGACGCCCTCCCGGCTGAAATAATAGAAGTTGTTTGTTAGGGCAGAGCAAACTGCATTTTACATCTACAGTTATTGAGAAATCCAACCTTGACATCTTGTAATGGCTACAGAGGTAATTAAATTACTGTAAAACAGACTGCAAAGCCATTAAACTGTCCCAATTTTCAGCCGTCTTCACTCAACATAGGAAGAGAAAACAGACTTCACAATTATTGGCAGTCCTTTATCATCCATTATGCAGCATTTCAGTGTTACACCGCACAGGACAAGGCATGGAAAACACAGCAATAAGAAAAACATATATATCTCTAGTAAAGTAGTTCTTTCCTGTTGATTCCTGCTCCCTGTTAATAAAGATTTTGGTACATGTTTTTAGTGAGGTTTCCCAAAATCTGACCGGTTAAAGCTGTTGATGTTGAGTACCCATTCAAGGAAGATACTCACACTATTACAGACCTTTAGATCAAGTTAGCTTTCTAACTAGAAATTCAGCTTGACATTTATTGTCCTCCGTATTAGTTACATAGTAGATTATCAAAAATAAAATGTCACAAAACGTCTCCTTTTCTGCTCAAACATTTGACACACTTTTAAATGCTAGAGCGAAATCACAAAAGTACATTTCACTTACACAGTTACAAAGATGGTGTTAATCAAGCCAATACTTTTCATTTATTTGTGAATGCAACTTTGACAGAAAAGGGGCTTTCTCATTGGGGAAAACAAAAAAAGGCTCAGAGACATGGTAGATTGACTTTGCCAAACTGAAATTTCATCTTTCCTTACATCTTAAAGACAATACCGCCTGTATTTCAGGGTACCATTGCACTGAGTGATAAAACAAAACAAAACACACCATTTCCTGTGAAGGGCCCAGCCTACTAGTCACCTGCAGAGTTGTACTTTCTTGTGCGTTAGCATGTGATTGTACAATCTTGAGGATAAGCTTTGCATTTTTTATTTTTAATGTAAACAAATATACAATTTACACTAACTGTAATGGGCTTCTACAAACGACCAAAAAGGTCCCTTATTCATCTGGAAAAACTAAAGTAAATCTATTAAACTAATAGATATTAAAGAAGCCTCCAGTTCTCAGAGGTCTACTTCACATTACCTGAGCAACTACACCAGCCTTTAACTTTTGTACTTACTCCAAAGGGAACAAAAATCTATTTGCTGCCATATTAAAATGCATATTACGTATCAACCAAATGGCCTATATTTTAACCTAATGTCAATAAAGTGAAAAGCTGTCGTGGGTCTGATTATGCCCATCTTTTCCCCGTTCTATTGCACAAATGCAAATATCACTATTTTAACTGAATGTGTGACTGTAATCCTGACGTTTGAAACAGCCACAGCCAAGACCTGCTCAGTTCCTGTTGATTATTATTGTTAGAGGAAAAGGATAAAAACCGCACTAGAGATTGACAAAACGTTCAACAAATATTAAATCAGAGATAACTGGCTAAAGAGCCGAATGCTGGTATTTAACCACAATCACGTCAGTATCTACATGGAAGGAAAAAAAAAAAAAAAAAAAAAAAAAAAAGCAAGGTTCAAAGAAAAGTAGGTGTTCATGTTCCTCTTAGGAACACAAAGCCATATAGCAGTCTGAGAGCAAAGGGCAGCGTTGCTCTCCCTTCCCCATGAAAAAGAAAACAACCAGTCCTTGACAAGATCGTCAGAAAGGAGTCAGTGATCTTGCTGGATGCAATGTCTGTCTCAGGCTTAACAAAGCCACGGAGTGTGACATCAGGTTTGCAGTCACTCATTGACGTCCCAGATTTCAGATAGTAGTGGGGGAAGCTTCTTGTCCTGGAGGCGAAGGGCAAAAACCTGCTCCGAGTGGACGCTGCTTAGTGTACGAAGGCTCACCAGCTTCATCAGCATGCGGGGGAACATCAAGTGATCCTAAGGAAGTTCATTTAAAAATAAATGAATAGTTTCCAAAGCGCCTTTCAAACACAATCACTTCACAATATGTGTGTGAAAACACACAAATACCTATCATCAACTCAGCTGATAATGTATAATTGTTGCTGTTTTTAGATAACAATATGTGGTCTACATTTGATTCCTTTCACCACTCAGCTTTATCTAGCACACAACTGCTCTTCTAACAGTTCAAACCCCCTACAAGTCTCAACAATACAATATGACCTTAGTCATGACCTAATGTGCTTGTTGTGATGATGACAGCCTGATTATACTGATGTTCAGTCTGTAACAAAAGAAAAAGCTACAGATATATCTGGTGCTTACATTTGGTCTCTTAATCATGATATAAGAGCGCAGTGCATCCACATAGGGCTGTTGCAGGCGCTCCACCAGATCATGATCTTGCACATTTGGTCGATCTGAAAGCAAATACACACACACACACACACACACACACAGTAAGTACAGACCCAAGAAACACATCAGTCAGATTTCAGATTTCTTAATAAAAATAATTCATTTCAGGACGACATATAAATAATTATTGAATCACACAATACAGATATTTTGATA